GGTGGGCTGGATCCACCGGCTTGGCATGCAAAATCCAGCCTGCAGAGAGCCCTTTGCCCACCAGTGATCTAGACCATCCCCAACAAGTTTCTCTAGCCTATTCTTAAAAGTCTCCAATGATGGAGATTATACAATCTTCCTAAAGAATTTATTCCAGTCTTTAATCACCCTAAAAAGAAAGTTTTTACTAATGTCAAACCATGCTACAATTTAAGATAATTAACTCTTGTCCTATGATCAAAGACTAAGGATAATAATTTATCTCCCTCTTCCTTGTAACAACCTTTTAGGTACCTTAAAGCTACAGTAGACTTCCGATAACCCGGAACCTATGGGACCTAGGTGGTGCCAGATTATCAAATATGCTGGAGTATCAGGAGGTACTATAAACTGGTTATGTATATACTGTATACAGTATATACTGTACATAAAGTATTCTTAACCCTTTTTACAGTATACTGTAATGTTTTAGTTTTTTTAAGCCTTTTTTACCCTTTTTGCTCAATTCAGCTGCTGCCGGTGTAACCTTGTGACTCATTTTTTGCCGAAGCTCACTCACTAGGCTCTTGCTATTTTGATGCCGGACTATCAGGAGTGCAGGACTATTGGATGCCGGACTATTGGAATTTTACTGTATTATCATGTCACTCTTCTATTTTTTAGACTAACCAAACCCAATATTTTCAATCTTCTCTCATAAGTCATGTTTTCTAGACCTTTAATCGTATTTGTTACTCTTCTCTGGGCCTTCTCCAATTTCTCCACATCTTTCCAGAAATGCGGAGCCCAGAACAGGACACAGTACTCCAGATGAGGCCTAATCAGCACTGAGTAGAGAGGAAGAATTATTTCTCATGACTTGCTAAAACACTCCTGTTAATACATTCCAGAATGATATTTGCTTGTTTTGCAAGCGTCGCATTGTTGACTCACATTTAGCTTGTGGTATACTATGACCCCTAGATTCCTTTCTGCTGTACTGCTTCATAGACAGTCATTTCCCATTTTGTATGTGTGAAACTGATTCTCTCCCTCTGTGTTAAAGCTAACTTTGGTTCAGATCATAGTGGTCTCCTCAGGTCTCCCAGGAAGCACTTCTGTACCCCTCCTCTCTCAGAACAACCATGGGTTTCTTAAGCAGATGATGTAAATCCCCCTCAGACTTGCTGTCTCTCAGTCACATCTCCAGCTTCATGGAAGGTCATCTGCCAGTGTTACAGAGAAGGTCAGACTAGAGGATCTAATCCTTTCTGGCCTTAAAGCTCTCAGTCTAAAAAAGGAGGAGAGGTGAGAGCTGTGTGCAGAGTCCCGCACTTCCTGCACACATCTAGACACAATCCCCCGCTTCCCGCACAGAGTTTGTAAACTTCTCAGGGCAGACTACTGCCACTTTACTGATCTGCAAATGCCAGGCACATCTATTATGCCACAGTAGTATAATTAATAAACCTTTTAAAAAGTCCCACTCAGTTGTAGCTTCTGCCTCCCGCCCCCTTCACCCTCCCCCCACTGCCTTGCTTCAAGTTCACAGAATTGCAGAAATTCGCTCCCTGCATTTTCCATAATCAGACACCAAATGCAAAACTCCACTTTACCTGGCTTGGGGCAGATGAAACAACCACAGCTGTTCCCAGCATCATTCAAAAGAGAAACCCCTTGCCAGGCAGAATGAAAGTGAGTGCTGAGTTCCCTGGTGTAGGCCAGCTTGGTAAATGAGGTGCTATTGTTATCTGAGACAGCAGGACTCAAAAGAACAAACTGGGTACTTTCATCCATCCTAACCTCATCACTGGCATCCCAAAACCTTACCAACATACAGAAACAAAATGAACCTCTTTTAACTGCCCTCTGGCAGTAAAGCCAGGAGCCTAGCAGTGGGGGGGGGGGGGGGGGGGGGGGGAGCAGCTGGGCTGGAGCCCAGCAGCAAAACTGCCCCACAAGACAAGGAGGCAGTGGGACTACCCAGCAGCATAACCAGGGACCCAGCAGCCTCTCTATCACCAAGCGACTCAGCTGCCCAGAGGGACTGGGAGGCAGTGTGGCTGCCCCATGGGGCTGGGAGCCTGACCAAGGAGCTGCCTGGTGGTAGGGCCAGGAACCCGGAAGTGGGGCTGCCCAGCGGCACAGAAAAAAGCCCGGCAGCCCTGCTGATGCCCATCTTGTCACCCAGCGGCGCAACTGGATCCCCAGCAGGAGGGTGCCCCATGGGGATGGAGACCCACAGTGGGGCTGTGCGTGCTGCTGGTGGGGCTGCCACAGTGGGGCCAAGAATCCTGCATGCAGAGGGGCTGGTGGCAGGGTAAAGTCGGCTGGGAGGCTGGCAGCAAGGACATGGCTGTGGGGGCAGTGATAGGGGTGTGCCCAGAAATGACCTTCCCTAGTCTGGCAAAATCCCTCATCCGGAACCGGTCAGGTCCCAAGGGTGAGGGACTAAGGAGGTCCAACCTTTACTTCTCACAACTCACAGAACCCGAGGGGCCCAATAGCGCAGAGTCAGATACAGATACATACTGCCTTAACCCTGCAGTAGCCCGCAGCTTGTACTCTGCGCTTGAGAACAGCATGGCCCTTACTGAAAGACCACTCACTACAGGCAATGGTGACTCACAGAGTCTTTTGATTAGGCTCATTCTGTAATTCCTAAGGGCAAAATCCTGACCCCTGTGGACTTCAGTGGAGTGAGGATGTAACTTCTACAGTACATATGTGCTACCTTTCAAAACAACAGACTTCAAATACATTCAGACTCTCAGAATACCTTAGTCCAAACCTTTCAACTGAGGCTCCCAGGTCAAATCCAGCCCAGTGTGGCAGTGGCTCAAAATCAGTGACTCCTGTGAAATGAGTAGTTGGTTTTGATCTAGTTCTTAGTGGACAAGTGCCCTCACCACACACCACCATCAATGGGTTTCAGTTGGCTTCCTTGGCAGAGGGACCATGGACTGCATGGGCATTGGAGAGTACTCACCCCCAAGGAGGTCTTCTGAGGTCCAGCTGATTAGCAGAGCAGTTTAGCTTCTATCCAATCTGCATGTGTAGGCATCTTGATTGCCCACGTGTTGGGTACATGGTAAAATTCACTCAGCATGAAAAATCTATCCCCCACTTGAGACTCCCCACTAAAAATGCACCTTCCCTCCGTGTCTGACAAAACACATGTAGACAGTCCACTCAAGCATGTGGACTACACCCCAGGATGAACACTGGCCTCCAAAGCCTCTTTTACACACTTGATTGCCTTAGCCAAAGCAGCAGAGATCCCTTACCTTTGAGAAGAGTGGCATTTCTCATTTCAGCTCTGCGAATTGGCTCTTGGCTGGGCAGAACAGAAAGTGGAAGTGAGATGCCTGTCCTGGGGAGAGTCAGCAGGGGGCTGGCTTAAGAACTGAAGAGAAGGGAATTGAAACCAGAACCACGTGCAAAGTTCCAGGCTAGCAATAGCTACCCAGAGGTGCTTTCACAGGGGGGATTTGGCTTTGCTGAAGGTCAGGCCAGAAAACATGTGACTTTTACAAACACAGGCATACATTTCAAAGCAGATCATTCTATTCTGCCTCTCTAATCACTCAGGGTATGTCAAACTAGGGTGGTTAATGTAGGCAACCGGAGATGCAAATGAAGCCCGGGATTTTAATTTCCCAGGCTTCATTTGCATATTGCCGGGCGCCGCCATTTTTAAATGTCCGTTAGTTCGGACTCCGTGCCCGCGGCTACACGCGGCACGAACTAGGTAGTTCGGATTAGTTCGGATTAGGCTTCCTATTCTGAACTACCGTTACTCCGTGGAACGAGATTTCATCACCTATTAAACCATCTTGTTAGTCTTTAAAGTGCTACATAGTTTTTCCTTTTGTTTTAGCAAATCCAAGTTATTTTTGCACAGTGCCAGGGGCTCTTGGTTCTCTTCATTGCAGCCAAGGATGCCATGTCTCAGTGCCACAAAGCTGAGGTCTTCAGGACTCTCTGCACCATTAGGGTGTGAGGTAGCCCGACTGCCCTCTTTCCAGGGGCTGCGTCTAGACTAGCATGATTTTCTAGAAATACTTTTAAAAGTATTTCTGCAAAAGCGTGTCTAGATTAGTAAGTGCCTTTGCACAAAAGATTTGCTTTTGCGCAAAAGCATCCGTGGCCAGTCTAGACGCGATTTGTGCAAGAAAGCCCCGATCACCATTTTAGCCATCGGGACTTTTTTGCGCAATTCTTCCCTCTCTAGACTGGCCCTCTTGAGCAAGTATTTTTGCGCAAGAGGGCTTTTTCCCGAGCGGGAGCGGGAAAGTATTTGCGCAAGAAGCACTGATTTTGTACATTACAACGTCAGTGCTCTTGCACAAATTCAAGCAGCCAGTGTAGACAGCTGGGAAATTTTTGCGCAAAAGCATTTGCTTTTGCACAAAATCTTGCCAGTCTAGATGCACCCAGGGAGTTTAGTCCTTGCTTCTATCATCCCACACTGGCTGGAATGACCCCACTGTGGGAAAGCACTGCTGGGGGGCCCATTCTCAAGTCCTAGGCAGATGATTTTACAGAAAATCCGGCCCAGCGTAGGGAGGCAAGATGGCGGGTGGCCGCTGGCAGCCTGTTAGGGCCAAAAAGCCTCAAAAATATTTCTTAAAGGGGCCCTACTGGGTTTTTTATTTTATTTTTTCTCGGGGTCCTTTTAACTGGGAATCTCAGGTCTCAACAACTTTGGTCTCCCCCTTTTTTTTCCTCAACAGAATTTTTTCCCAGTGTTTTTTTTAGGGGAGTGTTTGGTATTTTTGGTTAAACCATCTAGCAACCCAAGGCCTGAGCCCCTCCTCAACCTGCAACCATGCCTCCTACACCTCTAGCTCCCTGCCCTGAAGGATCCTAGCAATGCCAGTAAGTCTGCTAGTCCTAACCAGAAAACAGGACTGTGTAGCACTTTAAAGACTAACAAGATGGTTTAATAGGTGATGAGCTTTCGTGGGCGAGACCCAATTTGATTTGTCCTTTTCATATGGGTTCATTTTTTTTAAATTGTATCCTTTGGTATATATGGTTGTGACAATTTTCTTCCACTATTTGTTCTGAGGAAGTGGGTCTGGCCCACGAAAGCTCATCACCTATTAAACCATCTTGTTAGTCTTTAAAGTGCTACATAGTCCTGTTTTTTGTTTCAGCTGCACCAAACTAACACGGCTACATTTCTACCACAGTCCTAACCAGAGCATTGCAGTCATCAGGCTACAGTAGAAGCCATGCCTGCTTGTGTGGCCCTCTAGTGGCAGCTAGCTCAGCTAGCAATTGATGAGCCTGCTCTGTCTGGGCTCATACATTCAGCGCCGGCAATACCAAGTTTGATCCTGGGGAGAAAAATGCTGTTTTAATAACACTGATTATGTCACCTCCTGAGGATTATTCATTCTACTTCCAAACATCACAGCACTGATCCCAGCAGGTGTAAAGTGTCAGAGCACCATTGAATCGATGTCTCTAAGGTATTTACAGCAGCTGAGGATCTGCTGCTCTGGGATGCTCTATACTAGAAAATCAGACTTTTAACTACATCACTATGATTGGCATGATTTTCTGCAAATGCTTTTAACGGAAAAGTTTTTCCTTTAAAAGCATTTGCGGAAAAAAGCGTCTAGATTGGCACGGACGCTTTTCTGCAAAAGCACTTTTTGTGGAAAAGTGTCCATGCCAATCTAGACGCGGTTTTGCGTAAGAAAGCCTCGATCGCCATTTTCGCCATCGGGGCTTTTTTGCGCAAAACAGTTTTTAGCTGTCAACACTGGCCCTCTTGTGCAAAAAAATTTCCGGAAAAGGGCTTTTGCCCGAACGGGAACGTCAAAGCATTTGCACAAGAAGCACTGATTTCAGACAGTAGAACGTCAGTGCTTTTGCGCAAAATCAAGTGGCCAGTGTAGACAGCTGGCAAGTTTATGCACAAAAGTGGCCACTTTTGTGGAAAAACTTGCCAGTCTAGATGCAGCTTATGGGTCTAGTGGTGCTCTAACCCCTGCCCAGCATACTGCCAATTACTCTGGTGTAGCAGCGATTGGCACTGGTGTCAGAGAGGCATGCTTTAATACAGTGGTGCTTTTCACTGGTACAATGGTGCTGGGTACCAGCGTCAGGGAGCCTTGCACTAGTAAAGCGGTGCAAAGCACTGATAAGTGGTACTGGGCACCGGAGACAGAGAGCTTTAGGCTAGTGCAGCTCTTCTGGTAGAAATCGCCCCCAAGCAGGCAGCTGCGCGACCCAACAGAGCACTCGGTTCTGCCCCGCCCCTCCCATGGGCGGCGCTGGCCACCACTGACAGGCCCAGGTTACGCCGAAGGCTATCAAGACTATACATCCCACCTTCCCACTGAGGTCCGGCTCGGCCAATGAACTGCCTGTTTGACGCGAGAACCAATCAGCGCACAGAGCGTATCAAGCGTTGCGGAGCCCCGCTCTCATCCAATCAGTGCCAGCGTACTCGAGGAGTGGCAGGCAGGGCGCCCTATGAGCAGCGGGGAGGGTCCGCGCAGGCGGAGGCTCAGCTGAGGGCGGAGCAGGTCGGTGCCATGGCGGAGAGCGATTGGGACACGGTCACGGTGCTGCGTAAGAAGGGGCCGAGCGCGGCTCAGGCTAAGTCCAAGCAGGTCAGCGGGCCGGGCCAGCCGTTACCGAGCCCCGAGGCCCTCCCCCCTGGCGGCGGC